AACAAAAAAATTAAAATCCTGAATAAAATAAAATAATTTAATTGAAAAGAAAGACGAATTAAAAATATTTTAAATTAGAAATAAAGAGTCAAATAAAAGAAAGTTTGTTTTTAGACGATGATCAAAGTTGAAGAGAATCAAACATAATAAAAAAAAGGGAATCTTCTAGTTTTTGTATATAAGACAATATTTTTGTTCGCAAGTTCTTGTCACGTGTTATCACATGATCAATTTTTATCCATCCAAAATATTAACTTCTTATATAAATAAGGCCACAGTAAATTAATCTCTTCATGTAACTAATCCATAGATAATGCTTCTAAATGAATACATATATTTAATTGATATTTATTCTAATAAGTTTATCCTCACATTTTTCATTTCTTTCTGAAACTTCAACTTTAAATTATTATCTACCACGTCTTTTTTTTTGAAAATATTTTTATAATTATATAAAAGATATAAGATGATTCTAAATTTTAATATTATAATAAACTTTAAAGTATTTTTTATGATACTATAATATTTTGTTATCTTTTACGAATAAAATAATTATTACCGTTAGTTTATATTAAATATATAATGAAATTAATTATTTATTTGAAAATTATAAATATCTTTTTTTAAAAAAATTTACAAGTAACATAATAAATACTTAAACTTGAATTATATATTGTAAAACCATAAAAGAAACATTCAAAAGATTTTATAAGAAGTAAATAAAAATAACATATAACTTTCATAGTTTTTAAATATGTATTTTAAAATTTCTTAATATAACTGTTTAAAGTAAGCTATTTTTAATTTATTTTAATAAATTTTGAGATAAAATAATTTTTACTAAGTAAATAACTAAACTCTTTACCCAACATATACTATACACCCATAATAATGCATATGTGTTAATGTAATCGGATTTAAAAAATGAAAATATATGTGATCACGTGTTTAATTTATGTTGCACTTATAATACTTGATACTACAATCTCTTGGCAGGAAGAGATAGTAATGATATAACTTAGTATATTAAGCAGAAGAAAAGGTAAAAATGTATTCTCCAACCTATTATTTTTAATATATTTTTAATTATTATTTAAAAATTATTAAAAAGTATTAAAAACTATGAATAATTTTTAATTAGTAATTTAAAACATATTAAAAAATATGTTAAAGAATCTGTGAAAGATGTCATTGACTTTTCACATTTTGGGTTTAGGTGTCAGCATTCAGCAAGAGAGGTTTATGATTTATGAATCGAGGTTTTGGCTGAAAAAAAAAAAAAAAAAAACAGGGACAGGTGTAATAATGGTGAACACGGTGTGAAGAATTTAACTTTACCTAAATTATTGTAGTCACAATCTTTCAAAGCAATTAGCATAAAAAGGACAGAAAGAAAGGGACTCTTTAATTTCTCCCCTTTTTTCTTATTCCCCTCTTGTTTAGGGAAATGGAAGAATCCAAAGCATGAGAAGTAATTTTTGTTAACACATATAAACTATTTTACTTTTAAATACGATAGATTAGTTTATTATCAGAAATTTTTTATATATATAAAAATTTAAATTTAATTAAATAAAAATTAAGTAATACTGAGTTACTTATCATTTAAACTAATTTTTGTGTATAAATTTTTATAAGAAAAATAATAAAAAGAAATATTTTTTTATAAATTAAAAATAATTTTTTTAAAATTTTAGAGAAGTTAAAAAAATAATTTTAACTAATGAGAGAGATTTAATTTATTTAACTACTTATTTTTAATTTTAAGTATTTATTAAAAAATAAAGTTAATTAATATTTTAACTACTTTGTTGTATGTCACATATGTTTGGCTTAAAGTATAGTTATACCCTAGATTATTAGCGATATAAACAAAACTATAACCTCTGGTGAGCCAGCCTAAGATAAGTTTAAAAGTGAAACCATACGTAACACTCTTAATTGAATCATTGCCAAAAGGGCAGAAAGTGATCTGAAATTGAGTGAATTGAATGTACAATACAGTTGTATCAACATAAAATGAATCAATTAAAAGGTTCTTTTCATAACTTACGAACTCAACTAATCCTGTGATTCCCACCAAAAATAGCTAATTCTGCAATAAATGGGCTGCACTGGAGCATCATTTTTTCAAATGCTAACCAATACTTCAAGAACACTAGTTTGGAATTTAAAAAACTAAAAATATGTACTTAGTTCTTTAAATTTTAACATGGTTTTGAGAAAAATATGAATTGATTCTTTAACTATTACCTTTGTAATATTTGTTAGACGAACTTTTTTGTTTTTGTGATGAGGGTCATCTGTTTTCTGCAATAATATTAAATGGGGGCACATTATGGTTGTTGAAGTTGAATAAAATGAACATCAATATCTCAGTCTTAGGGGTAGTAGCTGTTGGACATTTACTATTAAGAATGAGAAGAAATAGTATTCAAAGGCTAAAGTGGAAGTAGGGTTTGTTTGGTGAAGCCCACAAGTGCAAAAGAGTGGCATTATGGAGTGTCATTTTGTGGGAAGTTGTAGGAGAAAAATAAAGATTCCTAAGTTATTTTTTATGCTTTTGGGCCAAGTTATTCCACAATTTTTAAATTTTATTTTACTCTAAAATTTACTTCTTTATTTCTATTTCTAAGTTTAATGAGTAAGAAAACATTTCAACTAAGGATTTTAAAAAGAAATGCTTATTTGAATGAAGGATTTAGGAGCTATTTCAATAGACAACAATTAAGATGAACTTATATGTGTATGGGTTGGCCTGTTTAAAATAATTGTTTTTTTTGTTGATATTTAAGTTTATTTAGGCGAATTTTTTAATTTGGTATTACTGCCTTTTGGATAGTTTGTATTTATTAAGTTAAAGCATAGTGTCATATCTTTTCAAGTTTTTTTTAAGAGAGTTCGAAATCAAATATCTACGTAAATAAAAATCAAATTTTTAAAAAGTTAATAAGAATAACCAAACTTTTGTTGGCTAAACCCACGTTAAGATTTTTATGCTTAAATCCGTGATTTAATAAAATATCAAAATTAAGAAAAAGGAAACCTGTGAAATCAAAGTATATAATTAGGACAAAATAAGAAAAAATAGTAATAAAATGTGTAAATTTAAGGATAAAATAAATGTTAAATTTTGACAAGCACCAAAATAACTCTTGAATAATTAACAATGTTTCTCAATTTGTAGACAAATAGTAATTAATAAAGAAAAGTAGTAAAGTAACACAACCTATAAGTTCATCGACACTTTTACATTATTGAAAATTAATTTTCGAAAATGTTACTGAAAAAAGATGGGTATTGACTACTGCAAGAGTATATGAACATTCAAACAATGGTGTTCAACCTCTCACATTCTCAATTCGAGACTCCTTCAGTTTATTTTAGGTACATTTTTTTCCTAAAGAAATGAAGGCTTAGGAGTCAAAAACTTGGAACGAATTCATTTGTCTCTCTTGTTATTAAAAAAGATTACAAAAGTTAAGATATGGAATCTTAACATCGATTTGGTGGTAGGACATTTACAAGATCGAAAGATTAATTCAACACAAGAAATATTCATTGGAGATTTGAATAAAAAATTAGACAAAAGAAATAATAATTTTTTCCAAAACACATGGTTAGCGATAATAATTTAAAATATCTGTTTCCTAAACTTTATTTTATTTATTAAGATAAAGACAAACTAGTTGTTGATGTTAGAAGTTGGAAATGAAGGAAAATTTGATTTTTAAAATAGAGCAAGGATAATTAAAATGCCCTTTTATAATATGAAGGCAATATTAAAACTCAAGTTAGTATAATTATAATAGGTGCACTTAATAAAGCAAGGTGATTAAATTTGTGATTAGGCATTTGTGACTACTAAAAAAATATTGATTTTGTTAGTCAGAGTATAATATTACCATTTAAGTTTAACACCAGTTCAAATCAAATCACGTTAACCCATAAGAAGAGGGTTGAATAATAATCCTTTGATATAAGATAGATGAGAATACAAGAATTATAATTGTCTTAAGAAAAACTTGTGTTATTAAGATAACTTTACTAAACCTTTTAAATCATGTAAATAGTTTCGAAAGATAAGAGTAAACTTAATACCATCTTTATAAGATTTATCATAAAAGTTCTTAAATTCAATATATAAAGTAGCAAAACATACATGCACTTGCACACAATATAATACACTATGCTACAAAATTATCTGTGATGGTTCACTTCTAAACTACTAAAGTATATGTCAAATTCTTATGATAGTTCAAAACTACGAGGTCTCAATTATTCATGTCACACCATATGAATAATTTTATAATTTATATATAAAAAGTTAATGTATATTACAGCATAAATGATCAGATCAAAATAAAATGACAACTTTATCTTCTTTTAAAATAAAATAATTGAATAATAACATGATATTTTTTTGATATCATCTTATATACTGCGTTTAATGGAATCACATCAAATATATTGTATTCTACACATATAATATATGGTTATGCAATGGGATTTGTGAGCAAACCAATTGGCCAGTTCTATCTAATAGCCAATAGCAATGGAGTATGGAGTATTACTTGGGGGAGGTTCCAATAATCCCACGAGGCTTGAGCTGTATTCGACAATGCTATGTGGAAATCGCTAATCGTTTATAAATCCTAAGAATGAAAAGTACCTATTACATATTTTTTTAACACAATTTCTAGTACTAATAAATAAATTTGATGTGAATTTAAATAGGATGGAATAAGTTCAATTATTTTTAACAAGTCTTATATAAAAATTATCCTTCATAAATTATATAAAAAATGACTAAAAATAATGTTATTTGTATTATTTATAATGAATAACATTTTTGTGGGACATGAGCCCTTCTCCTCAAATTCAACACACTGTTAAATACTCTCTGTGATGAATTAAAGAAGTTGATATATACAATGTATATGTGTATAGATGTAAATGGATAGATATTAATAATGAGCATGGAATGGCAAAGGTTAATTGGGGATGATAAAGGAGAGCAAGTATAGCTTCCGAAATGGTTGCTTCTCTCTTTTTCTTATATGGTTTGTCCTGTAGCGACCCATCTTTGTCTCTCTCTCTCTTTCATTTGCCTCGAGACAGAGCAGAGACCGAAAGAACCACCAACAACGGAACACCCTCTTTAGCCACCGTCCAAACCTATCATCACTACCACTCAATACTTATCATTCATTGTCATTCCCAACAACAAATCCCTAATCCTCATTTTACCTCTTTTCTCTTACCTTCATAACATAACCCCAAACCCAAACCCTAGCCCCTCTTTTCTTTTCTTTTCAATTCTACTCTTCCTTTTTCATTCCATCACCGTTTCCGTCGTTTTCTTTTTCTCTTTCTCTTTCCAATTTCAAATTTTTGCAATTTTTTTATATGAATTAGAGTTAGGGTTAAGGAATTGACGCTTATGGAAGGGAACGGCGACATGTTTAGAGCTTCGTCTCCGGGGGTGGGACCCTCCACGTCATCATCGTCGTTGTCGTCGGCTTCTAGAAGATACGGAATATTGTCGGCGTCTAACATTATTCAGGCGCCTTTATCGGTGTTGTTGGAATATTCCGGTATTCTTCCGTCACGGTCAAATCACCACAGCCAAGCTAACCCTGACGCCGTTGACAATGATGGCGAGGTTTCGATTAGGATCATTGGACCAACGGAACATGAGCATCAGAGGGAGGAACAGTCTCCTCCTGGTGGCGGTTTGGTGGTGGGGCTTTCTCATTCTCAGAATGAGGCCGGGTTGCCGTCTTCGCCCCCTCGCGGCGACGTTGAGGGCGTTTCGCAGGCTGTAAATGGGGGCGGGAATGGGGCGGCCGATGCTGAAGCTGCCGCGGGTGGTGGAGACGGTGTTGGGCCGAATGGGAGGGATTCTTCTTACCAGAGATATGATATTCAACATGCTGCTAGGTGGATTGAGCAGGTCTTGCCCTTTTCCTTGCTTCTCTTGGTGGTTTTCATCAGGCAGCATTTGCAAGGTGCAATTTTTATTCTTGGATTTCGGTTACTGGTCTATCTGAGAACCAATTTTGATGTTATTGAAGTTTGGTGATTTTCTGAGTGATTGTAGGGTTTTTTGTTACGATTTGGATTGCTGCTGTTCTTTTCAAATCAAACGATATTCTACGGAAACAGACGGCGCTGAAGGTATGATATTTTATACTTGTTGTGTGGGAAAACAATGTGTTGTTGTTGGTATGTGGAAATTGGGTTGATTGTTAAGTGTGTGATTTTTGGTGGCTGCAGGGAGAGAGGAAAATACCTGTTTTGATTGGAATTTCTGTTATGTTTGCGCTTCATGTGGTTGGTGTTTATTGGTGGTATCAGAATGATGATATCATGTATCCCTTGATCATGCTTCCTCCCAAAGATATACCACCTTTCTGGCATGCTATTTTCATCATCATGGTGAATGGTGTGTTTCTCTTTCCTAATGACTGGCTAAGTTTCGCACTCCATAATCCTTGTGTTAATGCTTTTGTATTTTGGTAAATGTTTATGCCTGCTGTTTTTTTCTCTCGACTTACAATTGACTCGCTGGTGAGTGTTCAAGAGAAAAATTTTAAATGTATCTTACTCTAAGGATGGGGTTGGATAAGTAGCTTGCTTATGCAATAAGTTCTTTTCACTCGAGGGGTTGTGTTATAAATTTAATCATGAAATTGATTTAGAATAACCTGAAAAGAGCTTATATTGATAAATTATACCTAGAAGCTTATTGAATAAGTTAAAAAAGCTTGCTAGTGTTGTAAGCTATTGTCATAAGCTCTTTCAAACACCCTTGTCTTCCTTTCAGGAGTTTGTGCTTTTTGTTTTCTGCAATTGAATATTGTCCTCTTGAGTACTCGTGTTATTTTTGTCTCAATGATCTATTCTATTAATGACGGAACAGTTTTAACTGTATTACTAATTTGTATCTTTTGTCCATGCTTTTGTAGAATCGTCAATTATGCTTCTTTTTAATTCAGTATGATTTGAATGTTGCTGAACTGATATATTATATGCCTGTAATTAGCCTGTTACTAGTCAGTATGGAACTATTTTTTGTGATGGCAACCTTTATTTGGTTCAGGTTATGAAATTATTTATTGATTTTTGGTTGAGACTTATTGGGGTGGTTAATCTCATTGCTTTGCAATGTGTTTTAAAATTTCAGATACTTTGGTCCGCCAAGCTGCAATGGTATTCAAGTGTATGTTGTTGATGTATTACAAGAATAGCAGAGGTCGAAATTATCGTAAGCAGGTGAGGCAATAAATTATGAAGTAATAAGGAAAATGAATCTCAGTGTTCTGTGTGTTGGGGTCTTGGGGGAATAGAAGAAAACATCTTAAGATGACAAATTTCTTCTTAAGTTATATTATGATCAACATGGCTGTAGTATCTATTGTAACGTTTCAAGGAGTTATGGGCTCAGGATCTATATCATCTTTTGCATGTCAGTGCATTCTGACCGTGCTATCATTTATTTGTTAGGGTCAAATGCTGACTTTAGTTGAATACCTCCTCCTGCTTTACCGAGCCTTGTTGCCAACCCCAGTTTGGTATCGTTTCTTCCTGAACAAAGAATATGGGAGCCTCTTTTCATCACTGATGACAGGATTGTATCTAACATTTAAACTCACATCTGTTGTTGAAAAGGTGCGTTAGTCTTTCAAAACATGTATATTTTATTTTGTTTAAATGTGGCATGTGAAGAGTAACCTCCACAGTTTCTCTTTCCCCCTTAAACCACCCCCATTGTATTACCTGCCTGTCATGCGACTCTAATGTTTTTCCAGTTTCTGCATGATTTTATTTATTTGAACCTTTTTTGTTTACTTAATTTGTTTTTTAGAATAAGAAAATGTTTATGTTTTTGTTTTCCTTATTTTTTGTGGGATAGATATATGTAAGTGATTTTTTTATGATTTTTAAGTTTTATGAAATAAAGCCTTTTCCAATGAAGGGGAATGTTTGGTGAGCTTTTTCTGTTATATTGTCTGTTAATTTAGTAGTTGTTTAAGAAAGTACCCAAGCTATAATGAATCATTTAGCTGTGACATGATGAAGCACTTAATTTTTTTTTTGGATTTAACTTATCTCTGGATTGCATCCAGTTGCATATGATGTTTCTGTTCTTTTGTCAGGTGCAATCCTTCTTTGCTGCAGTGAAGGCATTGTCACGTAAAGAAGTGCACTATGGAGCTTATGCAACATCTGAGCAGGTACTGTGGGTGTCTTCTATTGATCATTGATTTTAGAGTCGATCTATCAATCACTTAAATTACAATGTTTATCCATTTTACTGTAAATAATTGTTTTGTTAGTTAAGTGAGGGATTTGCTAAGATGCCAGTAACTTATCTGATGGCAGGTCAATGCAGCTGGTGATCTTTGTGCTATTTGTCAGGAGAAGATGCATGCTCCAATCTTACTACGTTGTAAACACATTTTTTGTGAAGATTGTGTATCAGAGTGGTAAGACTTGCTTTTTTGTCTTTCACAATCTGAAATTGACTTTTACATTTGAGTTGAATAAGCTGCTATGCTTTTTAAATTTGGTTTACTATTGGGGTTAGCAGGTCTCATATTGCTTCCTGTTAGTTAATTGCTATATTTTTTTTCTTTTGTTTTTTCTAGCACCTGATTATATCTTATTTTGCTAGGTTTGAGAGAGAAAGGACTTGCCCATTGTGCAGGGCTTTGGTAAAACCCGCAGACCTCAGATCATTTGGGGATGGCTCTACTAGCTTGTTTTTCCAGTTATTCTGAAATCATATATAAATACAACCGAGGAAGTTTTTGTTTTTTCTTTTTTGCTTTGAAGCTTTACTTTTCAAAGCAGCAGTCATGATCTATATACATCAACACATGTAAAATGCTCTGGAGGCAATTGTGGGGGATACTCAGAGAAGATGAATGCAGCTGAATAGAATTAAACTGGTCATGCGTTCATATAATGTACTAGTAAAAGGTTGAGTGTATCTAAATGATCTTGTAAACTAGGAAGTTGATTGAAAATATAATTAAACGTGACTCTTCATTTGCAAGGAATGAAGGTCTCTTTCTCCGAATTGCATAGCGATTCTGTCATATAGTTGTTCTAATCAAAATGTCAATTTTAAACATATATTTTTTATGTGGGTTTTGAAACACTCGAAAAGGAGTGTTGCTCCACGGGCAGTCGGGCAGGTTATGGTTAAAGATCACGCACTTGTGTTCATGTAATAATATATCTGTGATTACAAGTTTATTTTTGTAATACTTAATGTGACCATGATTATTTGCTGATCTCTTTGCATAACAAGATGAGAAAGCAAGCACACGTCTTTAATTTGTTCGAGCCTAGTTATAATAAGTATTATATACTGAAGAAAGAGTAAGGAATGTCTAGATGATCTCGATGGTTAGGAAAAGTCTATTATCAACTCCAACCATTGATGTGTCCTCAAAATACTCACTTGGTTAGATCAATATGAATGTCAATGACAGCTGACCTTTATAAGTGAGTAAAGTTTGTAACATCTGATTCATTTAATTAACATAAACCAGTTGAGTGATTTTGGTTTCCTTGGGCTATACATACCTCGTGATAATGTAAAACGGGTTTTGTTAATTTCAGTTTTAAGGGTTGAATTTAAGCATTTTTTTAAAAAAAAAGTTCTTTTAGAAGGAATACACTTATTATAATAAAGTTATAAAAGTATAATAAACATATTTAATAATTTTATTATTATTAGTTTGTTAAATTCAACATTAAATATTGAAACTAGAATTTTCTATATAAAAAAAATTATGTTTAAGGGATGGCAATTGCTTTAAAAAGTTAAAACAATATGAAATTATAAATTTTATTTTTTTATGGTAGTATAAAAACGATTTTAAGATTAATTTGTGTAGTATTTAGAATAGACACATTTTGTATGATGGTTTTTATTTTTATTGAAACAACGCATATAATTGTAGATACTACATTTTTTTTAAATTTTTGACAAGATACTAAATTCAGTTTAATGCTTGGATGATAAAGTGTAGCCAAACTCCTTTGGTAGATGAGAGCAGCTGGTTTTCAGTGAACCCATCATGAATCTCCCCGTTATCATCAAAATGCAACTTGTAACTCAAACAATAGGCATTTTTGTTTTGAGGTATTAGTTTAACTTTTTTTTTTCTTTTGCTCTGGCTAAAAGAACAAAACTCCTTTGGCAAGACTAAAGAAGACTTTTTGTTAACAAGTTTCGAACATATGCAATTCTAAAATTGAGTTAGTTTAGGCTGAGTTGAATTTTTATCCTTAAAAATTCACATTTTTTTTAGTTTTTATTTTATTTTATTATTTTAACTAATGATACAAGAAGTCTCTTTCATTAATTTTTCAAATATTCCGAAATTTTTATTTAGTCTCTGATAAAAGAGAACCAAATATGAGATTATTATGATATTTATGAGGACTAAATGTAAAAGTCATGATATTTAAAAAATAAATAAATAAAATTATAAAGAATCATTTGATAAGAAAATTTAATATAAAATATTCATTTAAAATAAATAAAAATGAAATAAAATAAAAAATCATAAATTTTTAAGAGGTTAAAAACTTAAGCAGCTAGTTATTACAACTTTATATTATGACTAACTAACCTCCCCAATTACGGTGTGGTGATTGAACTATTCTTTCGCCTTTTAACTAACTTTATTATAACATTTTACATGAGAATTTGCCTGTCCCTGGTTTCCATATTCCAGACTCCAAAAACAAGAGGATAAATTCAATTGATATTTTACGTAAAACATGAGAATTCGTTTGTCCTATTATTGAATGCATTTAAAATGTTAAATATATGGAGGAGTCGTCATTTTCGTAATATGTCCACATCCAAAATTTTGTGATCAACCAATACAATCGACCCAAAAAATAAAAATAAAAATAAAAATAAAAATACATTCTTTGTATATATATGAAAAAAAAAAAAAAAGAATTTGCCAAACCAACCTTACCATGATAGGAAAGTTACACACAAATACAAAAAAAAAGGTATTTTTCTTTGTCTACCCCCACCCCACTCTCTTCCTCACATGGCAATAAGTGAAGAAATAGATAAAGGTTCAAAAGCATTTATATTTCTCTGGAAACAGGAGAGGGTCATCTATGACTAAGCTATGATAAACAAAACATTATTTTGCATGTTGAGGAAGTGAGATATTATTAGGAAGAGGCTCATCTTCTGATGTACTCTTATCATCTTCTTCCGGCACAGAAAATATTTCTTTAGTGAGCATAGGAACCTGATGAGGAGATGATGGTGAAGATGAGTGTGGTGAGACAGATAGCAAGCGTGTTATCCCATTGCCATCTACAGGGTATACTTCACTCACTTCTTCCATTCCCTCATCAATATACACCACATCCTGCGTTGTCAGCTGATGGTATTCCACTATTTCCCTTAAGAAACGATTTTCCCTAGAATATGTCTCATTCTCATTTGCCAAACGTGCCTTCTCAGCTAAAAGTGTCTCCAGTTGATGCCTTATCTGTGGAGGATATCACAAAAAATACAGAGAGTTAAATTTCTGTTCTCAATGATCTTAGTTTTCTTTGTGTCTGTTTGAAAACACTGGAAAGCAATTTTCTCAAGCTTTTTAGACATACTCGTTAAGCTTGTTCTTACATGCTATACATGGTGCATTGTGCTTACTATCATATAGTAAATTAAAACAACACAAAGTTGAAACACAGAAGCATCAACTATTCAAATACCAAATCATCATCTTCACGGCTCTGTCCCTTTTGGCTTCCCTCTCGATCCCGTAGTAGTTTGTTTTCTTCTTCAAGCTGAGCACACCTTGCCTTAGCAAAGGCCAAATCTGCTTTAACTGTTTTCAGCTCACGAAGTAGTAGTTTAGCTTTTGCAGCTGTTGCCATTGCCACCTAAAACCAAAGCAAAGGGAAATTAAATTTTGCTTCTTTTGTCACATTAAAATCAAAACTGTTAATTCAAATAAAAGACCATCACATACTCTCACAATTATAATCGGATCAAAAAGCTTAAATTGAGTATGAATGTGTATAGTCGTATTTTGCAATGAGTGAAGTTTCTTCAAGTCTTAAAAGTAAAGCAATTTTCCAGGGCCATTAGTGGACTGAATTTATACTAATCAGATGACATGGAACAAAGAGAACTCTTATGCTAACTTAAAATCAATTAACTCCTACATTATATAACTGCATATTTGGTTTCATGTTTGAATTGTCATGGATCCACGCTTACTTCAACGCTACTAGTTGTAGCTTTTTCGTTGCATTCACATTTATAATTTTTTAACATGTTTCCAAACACATGATAAGACATATTGTATTTGTATGCCTTCACTACGTGAACCAGTGAGGCAGTGACACATGATTACATAGTTGGCACCTTACGTCGCGTGATGCCTTGATTTGTGTTTCAGGGGTGGATTGATTCTGTGTCTGAGCTGATTGTTGCCATGGATTTCTCACATCTGTAGTTTGGTTATTGTCCCCGCTGTTATTTCCTTTTCTCCTGATTTGAGTTCTCAGGTCTGCTGTCTTATTCTCCACCATTGTTCGCCCCTCCTGATGAAGTTAGAGAAGCACGTATAAGCAAAATAAAGAGATAAAATGATCAAACTTTTCTCTAAAAGCTCTTCAACTTTTGGAGAAGTTAGATGGAAGAGCTTATAAAAAAACTAAGGTACATAAGTTAATTTTAACTTATGAAAGATGTTATAAGTTGAGAAGTTTATACAAACTGAGTCTAAGTCTACTTACAGTTATATACAAATATCTGATGCAGTTAAACGCATCACCAGTTATATTTTGTGTTTAGCTAATTTACCAAATAAATTGCATGCAAAAATTTGACACCTTGATAACCGACAACTGAGTCATCATCAACCACTAACCGGTATAAAAAATAATGTGAAAAATTTGGTGTGAACGAAACATTCTGAGTTGTATTGATGGGAAATGGGGGCATGCATATGTAGCCTAACTAGAATTATGGAGAAAACAATTGTGAAGTGGAAGTATATATGACAGAAACAGAATTACCTCAAAAGCTTTCTCAAAGGTGTCACCAAGTTGATTGAGGGAAGAAGTGATTGCATCCAAGCCCTTCCGAAATGTAGGATTGTCCATTTTTCTACTAGTGTCGAGGGATTCATATACTGGCTTGAATTGTGAAGAGGGGTTCTAAAGCATGTCAAAGAAAAAGCACATATACTCACAATTAAGTTGATTATAATCCAATTGATCAAGTAAATGACAGACATATAATATTCCAAAATGAAGAGTCAAGGTTTTATGCTTCTTGTAATTTTAGGCAGCATCATATCATATCGTATTCTCTGCATTGTAGAACATAATGTAACAAATGAACAAGAGTTATATATTATACATGATAATCACCTGAGCTGCAGAAGAGGGACCTGTAAAGGTATTAAATGAATGGGATTTGAGTGTTCGAGGCATGGTGTCATGTTGTGGGGGTGACTTTTCATCATCCAGAATTGATTTGGCCTTCTGCGCCAACACTCCCCAGAAACCAGACTTGGAGTTGCCATTTCCATAAGCATCAAAGCTCTACATTCATTCACCGAATTTACCATACATTTGTGATGTGTATGTTTTTGGGGTTGTGAGATAACTAAATTTTGATCATTCAATCCAGATTTCTCTCACTCACTTTATATATGTACGCATACATATACATGTGACCATATAACATGAGAAAAATCAATCTTATAATTCAATCATGCACGAATGATTAAGATTACCAAAAAAAAAAAATCATTTTTAATTCATCCTTATAAAATCGAATTATTAACTCTTTTCTCGTTCTCACCTTTTTATCTATCTGTTCGTCTATCTATATATGTAATCAAGAGTTTCAAAGCTATCATGGGAAATTGATGAAAATTATTGATACATTGGTTGTTCAAAAGAAAAAGAAAAAGAAACACATATTGAGCATCAAATACCGTGGATCTTTGATGATCAGAGTCAGAGGAGGGGGCAAAGGCGAAGGAAAGAGATGGTTGACGGCGAGAAGCAGAAGCTTTGATGGCTTGAGCAGCCAGAGATGATGATGATGATGAAGAAGAAGAAGATGAAGAGGAGAACATAGATGGAGAAGCATTGTCATGATCAGGAGAATCCTTAACATCATCCAATGATGGATGAAATTCTTCCTTGAAGGTGGAAGACCTTGATACACCTTGCCTTCTCCTATAAGCCATGTTATGCCTATTTGCCTATGCTACAACCTGCGAGATCACAAAAACAAGGAACAAATGAAGGAACTGTCTGATTCAGATTCAACTGTTACCTAACCAACTCTTTCTGTTTTTTTTTCTTTTGTTAATTTTTTGGGGTCATGAAATGAAATGTCAACCAAGATTAATATGTAATGTGTAATAAATAATGTACACAAAAAAAATATTTTAACAAAGAAAAAATAGAGAGACACCAGAATTAAATGAAAATTATAGTAAAGAAAAATGCAACTATTTAACTGTAACGAACAATGGAACGGTTCAATCTTATGAATTAGGTTTTCAAAAATTTTATGTAAGTAACATCATGAAAATATCTATTAAATTCTCACATGAACAATTATAAATATTTATATCATCATTCTTTTAAAAATTATGAGTAAATTTTTTTAAAAAAAATATACTTTATTGCATTATTTTCATATATAATTGTTAGCATCATTTTTTTAAAAAATAAATCACAAATTTCTTTCACACTTTGAATCATAAATCTCAACTAAACATATTTTTAACTTATCTTATGTAATGTTAAAATTTTTACATAATTGAATGATATAGTTATCATAATTTGTTTCATAGACCACTATGAAATGATTGTAATACTACATGTAATAAATAAATATATAATAAAATTTTAATAATTATAATAAGTTAAAAAAATTAGTAAAACTTTATTAAAAAATATTTATTATATTTTTATAATTTTAATATAATAATTGTGTATATTTTTTATAATAATTTTTTATTTATAAATATTTAAACTTAATTGTTAAGATTAAGATTAATAAAAATATTAACTTTTTTTTTTAAAAAAAATAAAGCATTTGTAAATAAATTTTATAAAAAGACAGAAAAAATTCGGCGCCGACGTACGTTATTTCGGAGGAAAAAGGAAATCTTTTCGCAAAGCACAACACGCAAGCAGGAGCCCCACATAACCACGACGAATTTTTATTTTTACACTTGTACGGTCAACACTTCCCCACACGCACAGAGAATAATAAAAAGATGGTATGGATATTTTTATACTTACTTTTTATTTTTATTTTTATCTCTTTGTTTCTTTTTCTACTCATTTTATATCTTAAAATCAGATGTTAAAAATATTATTTATTTTAAAAATATGTAAAATTTATCTGCATTAATTAATCTCAATTCTTAATATTAATTTTAAATAATTATTAATAATAAAATTGTATTTAAGCAATTATAATTTAAATTGATTTTTATAATTTTACGGACGAAAGGTCATGCTTGAACCTCTTTTTTAATTTTAAAATCATTGAATTTTCATGATAAAAATTTTGCATCAAATATCGCTTCTCTTATTTATTATATCTTTTATTTTCGTCTTTAGTTATTCCCTATTTTTCATTAACTATATACTGTTATGAAACTGTATAGTAGACTTCTTCCTTAAATTAATTATAACAAATAAAAAATGTTATATATCACGACAATCAATACATGAAGTGTGAAATGAGTGAGGGAAAGAAAAAAGAAAATACATATAATTAAAAATACGACAAAAAATTGAAAGAGTAAAAAAATGCAACAATTGTATAAAAAACGCTTGCACCTAAACTATACTTACAATATTTTCTCGTTTTTCGTCATATCCTTTTATTTTTCTTCTATTCAATCAATATAAAAAAGTGAGTGTGAACGTATAATATATATATATATATACATACTTCCTTCTCCGTTCACAATTCACAGTCACAAAACCACATAAACCTTCAACCTGTGCTCATCTTCATTTTCCCACCCAAATGGAAACAAAAACCCACTCACAGCCACTAAGAAGAACACTTGAACTCACGGTATTATCGGCGGAGGAGCTCAACGTGGATCAAAAACTCACCATAGAGGACCTATACGTTGTCGTACGAGCGGAGTCAATAAACTGCTACACCACAGGCATGGCAAAAGAAAGTGGGGAAGGAAAGGCTTCATGGAACGACAAGTTGTTGGTGGACGTTCCCATGCATGCTAAATCCATTACGTTGGAGATGAAGTGCAATACCTCAACGAGTGTTAAGGATGTTGGGGTTGCAAGGATTGCTGTTTCGGATGTTGTTGAAGAGGATGTTTTAGATCATAGCTTCAAGTTCTTCAGTTATAGGTTAAGGGATTGGGAAGGTAGGTGTAACGGAGTGCTTAAGTTCTCCGTCAGGGTCAGCGAGTGTTCTTCCAGTGGCGTTGCTCTTAGCATCCCTGCTCGTGGGGACAATTAAGCCAACGACGATGTTTAAACTTTGAATAATGATAGGTTCACACTCGTTTTTGGGTGTTAAACACGTAAAAGGAGAGAGAAAGAAAGAAGAAAAACGATGAGGAATGATTGTAAAAGAATATAAACCTGTATTTGCAAATTTCCTTACTAAACTAGTTACTGCAAGATTACTCCAACTTGAACAGGAGTTTTATGTAATTAAAATTAGTATTTAATTTTGGTGTTCATCTCCGAATATGATGATATTTTTACTGAATTATTTTAAAACTAGTAATTAAAATTACTAGTTTCGAAAACAGAAATGTTAACACATGAATTGTATCGCCTAGGAAATAGTGAGGACAAAGCAAAGTTGGGTTTCCACAGTGGAGTGACGTCGACGATTCTTATCCTATGCTAATATGCTTTTTCGGAAGTGAATGCGACATAGATAGATTTCAACGGAATAAAGAGAATGTTTTGTGAGGAATTTATACTTCTTGCTGGTTTCAAGTGACCATAACTAAGAGCAACTACTTCCGTCGAATCAGAATTTAGCTTTTCTAGTTTTATTGTCCTAAATCACACATTTTAAGCTTAAATATGCTTTGCTTTTTCACTCATTATATTTCCATGTAGAATCGATTCCTGAATTTTAAGTTCAAATAAACGATTACGATATCTTTAGTACATAAAAAGAGATGAGTTTAATGGCTGTCAATTTTTGCTTTTATTTATGATTTTTCTTCGTTGTACCATAACAGTCTCTGTACGGGGTCTTGTATTTGAAAATTATCAAAATATTAAAAGTATATTATCTAAACTATTTTTTATTATATACTAAAATTTATAAAAAATTATACAAGTTTCACCCTTAATTTTTACTCATACTTCTATAATTTCTAATATATTTTAATCAATTAAATAAAGTGTACGTCACACACGATTTTTAAATTTCAACTGATCGCCTCCACTCCATATAGAAGGACTTCAGATCTTTAATTTCCATTTTTTATTTGTTTTCTCATTTAAATATTATAATTATTATAATGCAAATTTTATATTATAATCTTAATACTTTAAATTTTTTTATTAATAAAAATTTGTCCAATTCTTGCATGAATGAAGATGGTCCATTTTCACTCAGAAGTGCCGTTATCAACTTGATTACGTAACTCGCACCTATGCTTATCATTCACGCTTTATATTGCGCGTTCATACAGAATAGTATGCTTTTATTTGTATTTAGGTTAATGTGTATTTGATAAAATATTTTAATTAATTAAAAGGTTGTTTATTATGTAAAGAAACTTTTTTAATAAAGATAATTTTATTCGATAAATATATTGAAATAGATGATTAATAATGTTGTTTTAATGTTACTCTAAGTGTTACCCTTTAATTATTAGATAAGAATTATTTTTATTTTTATTTTTAACAATTCATTTTACTTTTAATTTCTAACAATATAATAAATTTATCTCTTTTAAGTTTATTTTTTAAAATTATTTTTCATTAAATTAAATAAGAGTAAAAAAATTATAATTATTTCTATATATATATATATATATATATATAAGTTCAATGGTTAATTCTATCTAATACTTTTAATTCAATTTAGCTTGTTAGTTTTTATCTTTTAACTTTTGGCTAATTTTTTAACTTTGATTCATCAAACTTATCTATTTATTTATCATATACACCCTGAAGTTTTCTCGTTGATTAGCTATTTATACAAAAATTTTATAATTTATAATTTAAAATTTATATATATATATATATATGGAGGAAGAGTTTTGTCATTTTTAGTAATTCTACTTGACTTGAGCATGATTATTTATAGTAAAGAATGCATGTGGTTTAGGAAAAAAAAATTAATATTTAAAAAGAAAAAGCAATTGTCAAAGAGATGTAAATTAATAGTTATAACCATTACTACATGATTTGGCAGAAAAAGTAAAACATATATGTTAAGAATGCAGTGAACTTGTGATAAAAGTACATCTACACTAAATGCTAAGAAAGGTCAATTCATATTAGTTGTTCTTAGAATCTACACTAGCAACTGTAGAGGCAACCGTTAACGTATGTCCTTTTCTATTAAAATGTTAGACTTTGACTAACAATTTTAAGATATAATCGCTAACATAGCTCTATTTTCTTGCTAAACATGAATTAGTAGTTGTAAGCCTTTTTTTATAAGCAAAATATGTATTATTTCAAGAACAAAGAGGTCTTCAACCCATGTGTGAAACTCAAACCCAAAGCTTATAATTACACAGTAAAACTAGGAGGCTATCCAGCCTACAGAATGCCAATTCCTCTACACAAACTCTGTATTATGGCAAAAAAATTCTTCAATTTTAAATGCCTATTCTTCAGCCTCAATTTCCTTCCAAATGAAAATTCTTAATATGTATCCTTTTAAGTGGTTGGTACTGATACCAACATGCTTATGTGAACAGGATGAAAGCAGAGTGTTTGCAAATTGTCTCGCCTTCTTTTTTTTTTTGACTATTTGGCTATGAGAAAGAATTTGAAGGTCCAAATTCAATAATCGGCAGCTTTTACTCATAATAAGGGAACCTTTTTGTTAGAAATAGGTGAAATACTTGACTAAATTGTTAATATATTGGTGATGAAATGCCATATTTGGAATATATTGTATACAAACTTATTAGTAAGTACTGAGTAGAGATTTGTTGAGTGTCATATTTGGGAGTGAGAAACATAGTTTGTTGTTACATTCACTGAATTTTAAACTAGAAAAGTTTTATTGTGAGTAAATCCTTATTTTTCCCCCCAATTGATAAATTTAATACTACTTAAGAACTTAAGTGATGGTGTCAGCATAACATATGGGCACTTTTATGCTTTTTGCATATGATTTCATGTCTGTTATCATGGAGTATCATTGTTTTTTACAGGAAATTTGTTCTGAAGAAATACAGAAGAAGATTGTACGTAGGTTTACAAAAATAGGTTCACTTTAATAGTTTAAAAGTTTTAACTTAATTCACAAAAAGCTTATCAATAATCCTATTTTGTACGAATACGAATTCGTTCTATTAAAACTCTAAAATTTTATTGAATAATATAAACACATAAAAAATTGCTGTTATTTTTTATTCCACTGTGATTTTCGTTTATTTTCTAATATTTTACGTACTCAATTCGTGTAAAACCTGATGGCACCATTTAACGATGCTGTTATATTATTAGATTCCGTTGATTGATGGATTATGTTTTTTTAAAATAAAAACATATATAAAATATAATTAAAAAATTATTTTCATTTAGTTATTTTATTTACTCTTTTTGTAAATCTATACAAATCAATATTTTTATGACAAAATGAAAGGGCTTAAAGCCCAAAGCTAAAAGTTGTGCGTATGCAGAGGGAAACTCATTGAAAAGATGAAGGTTAAGTTCAATGTTGAGACCAAATTTTGCAAAGGTGTCGGCAAGAAATTTTCCATTTACGCCATGTATACACTAAATGAAAGCTTCATATTTCAACATCATTTTAGAAAGTCAGCAAGTAGGAAAGCTTCATTAAGCTAAGAACTTGACCACGATCTTTCTAAGCCCATACTGAGTGTAGATGTTTATTATATTTTTATTAATTATTAAATAAAAATTTAGGGTGAGAAATTTAATTTGAATATTAAAAGTTATGAGAATAAAATGTGAGCAATTAAAATTTAAGAATCTAAAATCATACATAAACTAAACTACAAGGACTGAAAGTGTAATGATATTTTTTTAAAATATCATTGTATATGATAAAAAAAAAAACTTATAAAAAAAATGAATTTATCCATAAAATACTCATTTTTCTTTTATATTGTGCACTTATTTGAAAAATAAAATAATATATGAATTAGAATTTATTCAAATTTCACTTATAATATAGATATTTTTTACAATGTTATTTAATTATAAATTATGATATTATTATATATCATTGACTTTTTAATTGTAATAACTATTTTAAAAAATCATATTTAGAGCATTTTAATCATACACTTTTTCTAGTTAACAAATCACAAACAATTATCATTTTTCTTTCACATTCCCTTTCCTATATTACTTTACACTATTTTCATCTCTCCTTTTTCTGTTATGACTTTCACCCTTTCTCTCCATCTAATGATATATACACCCATTGAAGTTTTAAGACATTATTGTCTTTTATCAAAATATATCTTTAAAAATTATATAAGTTACCTATATATACTATTTGTTTGATCACATTAAAAAGATGGGAACATGGGGACCTGGGGTGATTGGTTTCCAACTATCGCAAATGTCTGAATGATTTTCAACTGTAAAATTCTCATGTTTTCATATAATGTGAAATACCAAAGTATACTTTGAGAATGTTAATCCCAACCCCCCAACCTATCTCATCCTATCCTTCAAATTATATGTTAATTCTTTTGTCATTTCTAGATGGGCACTTTAATAATTTGAAAGAGCCATCGAGTGAAATATATATCCATAGACAAAAGACCAATTTATTCATTCACCATAGGTACTCTCTTGAAACTGCCCATTCTGTATTTCTATGAGATCTATTTGAATATGGAAATTTTATTTCGCTACACTGAAATTACAGGACCAACAATATTTTATACAAATATTTGGATAATTTCATTCTAGCTTCCATGACCATGTCATTTTATGAGATATACACAATAGGTGTGGGACATCATGCAACAAATGGCGATTCCTAATATGATATTGTGTACAAGCTGTAATCACAGAACTCATTCCTTTTAAATACTCTTGGAAACAAACTGTTCCCAACATGGTTAGGTGAGAAATATGCACCACTTAGCACTGAAATGAAAGCAAGGTCAATCTGCTGCTATTTGCAACAAATGCCTGCTTGGTATGAAAAAGGGTTGTGTATCTTAATCAATGCAACAAGGAACTAGTTCAAACTTCTTGATAGTGGTTATCAGTCCTCAAAATATTAAACTTGCAGAGAGGGCAGATAGCATTGATTAGCAGCCATTTGTCAATGCATGTGCAATGAAAATGGTGGTTGCAAGGAAGCTCTCTAAGTTCAGCACCATCATCATAGGCAGAAAGGCAGATACAGCATTCCTGTTATTTTACCATAATCATTCGTGTCAGAAGTGGGATTTGTTAAGCAAAATTGAATTTTGCTGTTCCAGAATTGCGAAAATGAAAACCAGTTGAATATATGGGACTGGGAGGAAAAGCACAGCATGCTAAGCATAAAAACAAGCAATATGATTCCAACCTTTAGAACAAAGGCAGAAGTATAACCAATAAGTACTCTATTTATAAATACTTTTTATGTTTTTGAAGATATTAAATCAATTTAACTTTTCATTTTATGCTTTCTTTAAAAAGTAAACCCTGAGTCTTATATTGGATGTCATTTAAACACTTTTTATTATTTATTTTAAATTATTTGTCACTTTAAAATATATATATAAAAAAAAGTATCAATTTTATTTTTTATAATATCCTATTTATTATGGATCATTTTTGCCTAAACTATTATGGCAACTTTAACTCTGAATAGTTCTTATCAACTAAATACTGCAATAACTTTGACACTTTTGATACTAGTACTTGAGTGAAATTAATTTATTTAACCAAGTGGGATAGCTTAGTTGTTGTTGTATAGTAATAAAAACTATTTTTATAAGATGTGTGCATTAATATTAAATGACATTCAAAATAAGACGGAGGAAGTAAATGGAGAATAATATAACAGAATATAGCAAGGCTTTAAAAATATGCAAGGGAGGTTACAATTATATAGCAGACTCGCAAGTATTTTATGCAATGTACCGGTGTGTAATAAAACTTTAAAAATATAAATCAAAAGAAAAATACATTAATTAATTTCAATATATATAAAAAGAAAAATATAAGTAACCTAGATTAAAGGTTAAAAGAGCAAATTTTAACAAAATTGAAAACAATTATTTTGAAAGTGTATATAGCTAAGATTTGAGACAAAAGAAATAATGTAAAAAGATAATTTTAAAAAATAAATGAAGTTGGAATGTGTAAAAAAATGATAACATAAAAGGAAAATTTAAAAGTAATAAATTAATAATTTTAAAAAGTGCTAAAGAAAGCTACATATCACAAGGAAAAAGAGAATACTATAAATGTCTTCACATTCATATATAAAGCTTCAGATTTATAATTTAAGAATTGATTGATAGGTAACAAGATGTAAATAAACGTTTAAATTATCCATTTCATTATTTGCTTCAAAAACAATTTATGTGAAAAAACATCTAGAATGATGCATAAGCCTCAAATCTTTAGGAGCAAGGCAAGGATATTTTGAATAATTACAATATATATATATATATGGTGTTTTGAAGTATAACATTTTTAGAAGATTAGATTGTCTTTGTTTAACACACTAGAACTTACAGCATCTTCTAAGGCAATAACACGTTGAGTGGCGTTCTCACTGTCACATTCTGTCATTATTCCTCTGGAAGATTCTTCAATGTCACCTTTTTTAAATTCCTTTATCATTCCGAACTTATATTTTGGCAACTGATCAATCTCTTCCTTCGTTGCCCCTTCCTGTTGCCACATTAAAGAATAATTTATGTCTGAAAAAGTTAGAAAAGAAAGAATATGATAAATGCAAGAAAGGCATATGATACACAATTATAAATAAATCTATAATTGTACACATCAATGCTTCATGAATCTGTTGAAATCACAGGGATTTAGGTAAGAGAGGAAACGAGAGAACATTTTTTTAATAATATATTACTGATATATAAAATATATATCGATGTGTTACAGAGTACAATGCACACATTCCTATTTTGGGTTCATTTGTTTGTGATTTTTCTTTTATTAAAACAAATGATCCCTTATACTAATACAATTATACTATTGTAATTAAATATCATGAAATATGAAAACCACTCCTAAGAAGTCATCTGATATACTCTACAATATTCTGACATACAATTAATGATATTATGAGATATTTTCTAGATATTTCAACAGAATCACATTAGTAGAACGTATAAATTAAAACTTTGAGAAGGATAGATGAAAAAATCAGCCTATATATATATAGCCAATCACGGTGCAGAGTTAAACTCTCATTAATTGAAAATGCACACAAACTCATAGCAACAGAGACCAATATATACAAGACAATAACAAAAGGCCTATCATTCAGGACCAATATCCTACTAAACATATCATTGAAAACATTTTCCTCCCTCACTACACAATACTTTCCAATTTGACTGCATTTTCCCCATAACCAAATTCCATTGTAAAGTAATAAATAGCTTAAATACAAATACAAAATATGGAAGGATTGCCACAACTCTTTGTCTATCCCCTATGAAAAAGTGTAAAAAACGGCATCTTATTACAGCTTATATATCTCAAATTTCAAAGATACACAAGCAAGATATATCTAGGATACTTTTCTTTCCCATGAGGCAGAGCAGAGATACAAGGGCAGCAATTGGGTAGAATCCCAGAAAAGCTATCACCTGACATAGAGTAGAAGGGAAAATTTTATATCATTGTTGCTCCCGCCATGGTCATTTTTACGATTATGTCCACCATGTACAAGATTAAAATATCAGTAGGAAGAAGTCCAATTCCAACTTGGTTCATAACCTCATTTTATAACAAAATAATAGCAAATTTATTACAACTAATCATGCACTTTATAATTTAATAACCACTTCAGTAATCTTTAACTTTTTTGTTTCATTTAAATGATTATATTCAGAACTGTCTTAAAATGTTGAAATTCAATGATGCAGTTAACTGATATAATAGACATGTAAAGCAAAACGTTCCTCCACCTCATCCCTACTGATATTTAACAGGTTTTCACTCCCTCTAATGATGAAGAAGAGATTGTCACTCTATCACATGATCATTTGTCTTACAGACAGACAATATTCACCAATGGCTACTCAACTGCAAAATTCAATTATCCCATTTGGGAAATGAACACGGGCAAAAATATAGTTGCTCACAATAACCTCCAGAACAAAAAATAAAATAAGGAAAAAGTTTATTTACCTGCTCTGCCACGACATATAAAATAGCAAGTATGCATGGCAGACAACAGCAAACGGCAATACCAATTAGACATGCAACAGCAACACAGATCAGTACAATCACAACGTCAAACGCAAGAAATGTAATACAGAGCCTGCAAAACACAACATGCAAGATAATTACAAAATAGGCAAGGCAACAAATCATAGAACACATAGAGAGCACAATTTAGAGTGCGTTTGGATTACAGCTTAATTAAACACTTATTCAATAAGTGCTTATTGCATGAGGGATTTATACCATAAATTTGACCATGAAATTTATTAACATAATCCAAAAGAACTAATTTTAATAAACTATATGAATAAGCTTATTGAAATAAGCTGAAAAAAGCTTATGAAAATCATTAGCTCTTCATAAACTATTTCCAAACACACCCTTAAGCAATAGACATTGTTCCAAGTTCCAACTGACCAGTAAAGCTGAGGTGAATCCCTTATCAAATTCTGGCCACCAGCAGTCACCCAATAGAATCCAATAATCCACCATATGAATGAAAGCATGGTATTTGCAGACTCTATGTGTTTTGTGATGCTGACAAGACAATGAACAATAAATTCACAAACTTACAGAAGTTCAAAAACAAAGAGTTCTACAGTAAACCTAGAATGGCAAATACATCAAAGAATACACTGCATTCAAAGAAAATACTCTCAATTAAGAACAGAATTTAGTAATGTGATTAAATTGGAAGGAGTAAGTAGAGATAATAGGGCTCTAAAATTAAAAAAATTCCAAATAAAAAATAATCTTTCTATATAAAAATTTATATATAATATTTTAAAATTTACAAAATTTAATACATTGATGCTATTAAATTTTACGATATTTTTAAAATTAATATATATAAATTCTTATCATGAATAATATTGTAAGAGTTAAAAAAATTAAAAAAAACAAACAAATTTCATAAAATACGAATCAAATTAATTTAAACACAAATTAAAAAAAATGAAATTAAAAGAGGTGTACCTGTTTCCCTCACCCTCTAGAAACTGTTCTGAAGCATAATACTCGTCATCACTCTCAGAACTGAAGCTCCATTCACGATGATCTAAAACAGAATTAGAACCTAACGAGGTCCTTCTCCTTCTGAACTCAACAACAACACAGAGAGAGTGGAACACGCCCTGTAACAAGTACCCTACAATCCACACTCTAAGGGGCACGCAAGGTACCTCCGTGGTGCTCAAACACAATACGGTGATCCCAATCGTGAGGAACGCGAGGTTCCACAGCACGTCGAGCGCCACCACCGGCTTCGAGTACGCCCAGTCGCTCTGCCGCTCCTCCAGCTCCGCCGCCGCCGCCTCCCGGACACGCACCGACGGCTCCCGAAGCATCATGCGCCGCCCACTAGCTCGCCGGAAAAACCGGGCGGCGGTTCGGAGTGGCGGCGGCGGCGTGCGTCTGAGGAACCGTCCTGTACGGTGGAGAAACGGCGCGGAGTCCACCAGAGGAGAAGGAGGTGAAGTATTTGAATTTTGCATTTGAAAAAAATTTTGTGCTAAGGTAGAAGAAAGGTGAAGTGGGTTTGATAGAGAAAAGAAAAGAGTTGGTTGAATCTAAAATTTGGATCTTTGAACAGTTCGAATGGAGTCACAAGAAGGATTGGTTTGGTTTCTGACTTTTCTCTCTGTTTGAATAATAGATAAAACAACGGTTTTTTTTTTTTTTTTTTCCGGTTAAGGTGTATTGCAAGCTAGACACAATAAAAACTTATTTTTGTTAATTTGAGTTTTTAAAACTTAATTTAAATATTTAAAATGATAAATTTAATTTTAAAAATTAAATCAATAAAATTATTAAATGATAAAAAAATTATTATATATTGTAAAATACAATGCGTTAATAGTGATTAATATTATAAATTTTAATAAAAAATTATTTATTAATAGGAATTTTCAGCATTTGAGGGAGGAAGAGCTTACAATGGACACTTGAAGGATTGATAAAGAAGGGTTTATCCTTCATAATTACGAGAGTGACTTTTTTGGATTTATGGATTTGACATCGAAATCTCGTGTGATTAATTTGTTTTTGTTGAAACTGTAAATTATGAAGTGTCAGAGAAAAATTTATTATTATCACTTAATGAAAAATGAGTTTTCATTTCTTAAATAATATCTGTAAATAATAACTAATAAATTTTCTGACACTACTTAAATATTATTAAATTAAAATACATTTTATATATAAAAAGTTAAATTTTTATTGAATGATTACCTTTAAATTTAGTAAATTTTATAAATTTATAGAAGTGTAAGTATTGTCTTAAAGAGATTTATAAGCAAAACTTTAGATAAATGCTGTCTGCGTGAAGTCAATTCAACGATCTGGAAATGTATTCTTTAGGAACAAGGAATTGAAAATTTTGCTGGTTTTCTTTATAATTTAAAAATATTGTTTTTTGTATATTTACTGAAATTTCTTTTTTTTTATAATTTAAAAATACCTCTTTTCATTAGACTTTTATTAAAAAATGATTTTATGTCTTAAAAAATATGTAAATTCAGCTATAATTATTAAACAAATAAGCACTTCGGTTGTTTGCGCGTGTGCACGAGGTTATAATGAGAATCTTAAGAAATTTTGAATTCAATATATTCGAAGTGGGATTATATTTAATATCGAATGCTCATTTGATAAATGTGATAAAAAAACAAAATAATATCATGTTTTTATATTGTTTGAATTAATAAAACATAATAAATTTATTTTATTAGTTTATTTACTAATATAATATTTTGTGAAGAGTCTGAATTAAATATAAATTATATGAAATGATGTATTTAATTTACTATAAAAATAAAATAAGTGCAAAATTAATTTTTATTTTATTATATTTTATTTAACTTATATGTGATATTTTTATCTTGTTATATTAATTATATAAAAAAAGATATATTTTGTGTACCATTTAAAAAAATATTTAAAAGTATTATTTTTATATTTTTAATATATTCTTGAAATGTATATATAAAAAATTTATATAAAATTATTAATTTTAATGATTAAAGTATCATAATTAACCATGTAGAGAAATAAATATTAAAAATTATTAAATAGTCTAAAATTATGGTGTATACGTAATATTTAATTCATATTAAATATTGTTTAGTCAAAATGATAAAAAATAATTTTTTTATTGTTGTTTAATAATTTATACATACGTAAGTATTATTACTTTGTATTAATTAATTTTTTAGAAAAATTCAATTTCATTTCATTTACACTAATGTTTATTACTTTTTTTTTTTCTTATTAATACATCAGTGTTCTTCTAGGATAGTTATGCTAAGTAACTATAATCATGGTTATTGACATCATCTACATGTTGAAGGACATAGAGAGTTTGTCATGCTCATATTACATTTATCTTAATGAAAATTTCACCATAGTTCTTGTTATGTCCCTTTCTCACATATGTGAATTATCACTTTTGGTCAAAATCCATGAAAATGAGTTTGTTAATAAAAAATTGAGTGAGTTTTATCAATAGAACCCTTAAAGAACCACAAATCACACATAATATTCACCCCTGCTAGAAAATGTTGCAACAAGATGATTTTTAGGTGGCTTATTTGATTCATGAGTTTTGAAATTGTTCAATCCATTGTATGGAGGAACAATGCCTCAAAAGTTTGGGTAAAACTTAAAAGAACAGTTTTCAAATATTGACCAATTCTAAATCTTTAAGATATAAGAAGAAATTTATAACTTCAAGTGGAGAGATTTCTCTATGACTAAATACTACACAAAATGAAGACATTATAGAATGAACTTAAAATAATGCATGTTTGTTCTTGTAATGTCAAATGTATTTGTAAAGTTTTTGATAACTTTAAATTTTTTTGAAAATACAGATATAGTAGTAAGATTCTTAAATGGTTTAAATAAACATTACTCCATTGTAAGATATCGTATCATGTTAATGGATCATCTTTCAGTCGTTAACAAGGCAGTTTGTACTGAACAATGTGGAAATTCAACTATTTATATCAATATTAATGACAATTATACCCAAAATTCAAGAAAACACAACAATTTCAAAAGATTCAATAATATAAAAGTTCAACAAGTATCCATTGGAGTGGTTTGATCAATGATTTCTTGATAGCATAAAATTGGTCCATAGCAAACGCAAGGTCATTGTTTACTCTGATAACTTTTTATTTTAGTATTAAACTGATTGCAACTAATGTAAAGAAATTCTGAACTAAAATTTTAACAACAAACTTTGTTTTTTCAAAAAATACATTCAAATACATCTACAATAGTCATCAACAGCAGTAAAAGAAGAAGAAGAAATCTCTATATATTAGCATGAATCAAATAAAAAAATTTGTTAATTTTATTTTCACTCAAATTGTAAGATAATGTGAGAACTAAACATGTCAAAATAGATTGTTATATTATTTAAAAAAAGTTTCTCACAGAACTTATTCACTTTTTGTTTGTTTCTTCTTCAAATCAGCTAACAAATATATTTACTAAATTATTAATTTTTTCTAGTTTTCGTAATCTTTTAACCAGACTAAGAATAATGCTCAAGTTTGTGAGAGAGGGAAGATGAGTAATATCAAATACTTTTTAGTCAAAATGATGAAATTTATTTTATTTTAATGATGTATATAGCATGTGTATTATTATTATGTAATTTTTTTAAAACATCAATATTTTATTAAAAATAAATAGCCCTCACTAATACACCATTGTTGATATAAATTAACTATTATATAATATGTGATAATATTTTAATATTTTTTATGAATTTGCAAACTATGAATAAGTAGTGGTCTTGGCTATAAATAATTTGTGGACAAATTGACACGGAACTAACGAGGTGCGTAGACATTTCGACGCTGTGAGTCAGCTTAGTAGGTAGTAGCTGTCTTGAACAGAGGAGTTTTTAATTTGTAATACGAAAATTTCCTTGCAAGTAAAATTCATTTGCTTTAAATTAAATTTGAAACAGAGTATTTTTAAGAAATAAGAGATTAGCCAGCAAACATTTCAACCATTCAGTGCACTGTTCAACGGTCAACACCAATGTTTCTGGCATGTGTTTGAAAGAGAACTATACAAAATAATTATAATAAAATTTATTATCATTTATGTAAACTTTATTCTTTTTCATATCACGTTGTCACTTGTTCATATAAGACAATCTAAATCCATTTTCTATTGTTCTACTTTGATCTTCCTTTTATTATTATAATTATTTTTTTTTCTTTTTTATCTTCTAATTTTAGTCATCTATTTTCTTTTAAATATAATTAGAATATGGATTAAATATGTTTTTATTCTTTACACTTTAACAATTTTATTTTTAGTCTTTTACAAAAAAGTTATTTTGATCCCTTTTTTTATGTTTTTATTTTTAGTCTTTATTTCTAGTCTGATCCATCGAAATATTGTTAAAAGTGTTTAGGTTTTTTTTTTTTTGTTAGATCATGTCAAATAAAAGTGTTTAGTTTTCTTTCTTCTTAAATCATTAGCTTATTTCTTTCTTCTTTGCAATTGAATTGATTAGAATCGGTTGAAATTCTACCACACCACCACATCACATCCATTAGCGCCATCTCAAATTAAATAATTCAGTCCAAAGTAACTGACTTTGTTGATTACTTTTTAAAAGATTAAATTTTAAGTAATTTTCAATTTAATTTTTTAAAGCAAGTAATACATTTTAGATTTTTGTTTTTGAAAATAAAAAGATAATGTAGTTAAAAAAAAAATCTTGACTTTTTATGTTCCCAACGTTTGTCTTTTTTTCTCCTTTTAAAAAATATTATTGTTTTTATATTTTTTTTTAATTTTAAAGATTAAATTTAAATATTTAAGAATAATAATTTTTTTAACGCATATATATTTATTAGCAACGTAAAAATATAATAAATTTTATTATTATCAATCATTTGACACATGTTAACATTTTCATTATTGATTTATGAACATAATTACTCCCACTCTGAAAAAAAGTATGAAGTATGCACTAAGAAAAAAACATAAATCCAAGTTTTTGTATTATAATTTTCTTGAAGGCAAATAAATAATAATAACTATTTTTTTGTATATATATTTTTTAAAATTTAAAAAATATAATTTTTTTTACAAAATTACAAAAATATAGAATTTAAAAATCATCATTAGTAATTTTTAATGTAATATAAAAATTCAAAAATAAAAAATATAAAGTTTCAAAAGTCGTTAATAACAATTTTTAAAAAAATATTAAAAAATTAAAAATTATCAGCAGTAATTTTTAAAAAAATAATTAAATATTTAAAAAGTAAATTAAAAGTCGTTACTGATAATTTTTCGTCAAAAATCGCTAACGGTAATTTTTTAAAAAAATCATATTTTTATAACTTTACAAAAAAAAATTATATTTTTTGAATTAAAAAAAAACCATATATAAAAAAAAGTTCCACATAATAATACCATCGAAAAAGCAGTTTTAAAGATTTCTTCCTTGCTTCTTCTGATTTGCTACTGCGGCAATCTTTTCCAGTTGAATGAAGATTCTGATGAAAGAAAGTTGCAACAAGTGGTTATGCTCAAGTTGGACTCAAAAGTTTTGGCATTTTCTCACAACCCAGGGCACACATTCAAGCTTCTGCCATTTCTTCGTTGCATACATGCCTGCATTGCGGATTCCCATCAATCTACGTTCCATTCCAATCAGCTTCTTAATGGGTTGTCGAAATCTGGTCGAATTAACGATGCCCGAAAATTGTTTGATAAAATGCCTCAAAGGGATGAGTACACTTGGAACACTATGATATCTGGTTATGTTAATGAGGGTAGATTGGTTGAAGCAAGAGACCTTTTTGATGAGTTTTCAGGTAGAAGTTCTATCACTTGGTCCACCCTCATATCCGGTTATTGTAGATTCGGGTATGACGCTGAGGCTTTTGATTTGTTCAGGTGGATGAGGTTGGAGGGTCAGAAACCGAGTCAGTACACTTTAGGAAGTATTCTGAGGGTGTGTTCAGCATTGGGCTTGATCCAAAATGGGGAAATGATTCATGGGTATGTGGTGAAGAATGGATTTGAATCCAACGTGTATGTTGTCACTGGCCTTGTTGACATGTATGCAAAGTGCAAGCACATTAGAGAAGCCGAATTTCTCTTCAAGGGGTTGGCCTATGATAAGGGAAACCATGTTCTGTGGACTGCCATGGTTACTGGTTATGCTCAAAATGGTGATGGCCATAAGGCAATTGAGTTTTTTCGTTACATGCGCATAGAAGGGGTTGATTCCAATCAATTTACCTTTCCTAGCATATTGACAGCATGTTCTGCAGTTTCAGCTCATTGTTTTGGAGAACAGGTGCACAGTTGCATTGTTCGGAGTGGTTTTGGTTGCAATGTATATGTTCAAAGTGCATTGGTTGACATGTATGCAAAATGTGGAGATTTACGTAGTGCGAAAAAGGTATTAGAAATTATGGAGGATGATGATGTTGTTTCGTGGAACTCCATGATAGTTGGGTGTGTAAGACATGGGTTTGAAGAGGAAGCTCTTCTCCTCTTCAAAAAAATGCACGCAAGAAATATGAAGATTGATGATTATACATTGCCGTCTGTTCTGAATTGTTGCATAGTTGGTAGTATGGATGCAAAATCTGTTCAATGTTTGGTAATCAAAACTGGATTTGAGAATTATAAGCCTGTTAGCAATGCTTTAGTTGATATGTATGCCAAAACTGGGGACCTGAATTGTGCATATGCAGTGTTTGAAAAGATGATTGAGAAAGATGTCATCTCATGGACCTCCCTGGTCACAGGCTATGCACAAAATGGCTCCCATGAAGAATCCCTGAAGATTTTTTGTGACATGAGAAAAGAAGGGGTAAGTCCAGACCAATTCGTTGTTGCAAGTATTTTGAGTGCCTGTGCAGAACTGACTCTTCTAGAATTTGGTAAACAAGTGCATTCAGATTTCATAAAATCAGGCCTTAGATCATCACTGTCGGTGGATAATTCTTTAGTAGCCATGTATGCAAAATGTGGATGCTTGGATGATGCTGATACCATTTTTGTTTCAATGCAAGATTGTGATGTAATTACTTATACTGCTCTTATCGTTGGTTATGCACAAAATGGTAAGGGAAAAGACTCTCTGAGATTTTATGATGCTATGGTTTCAAGTGGCACAAAACCAGATTTTATCACATTCATAGGATTATTATTTGCTTGTAGCCATGCTGGTCTTGTAGATGAAGGTCGCATATATTTTCAACAAATGAATAATGTTTATGGAATAAAACCTGGCCCTGAACACTATGCCTGCATGATTGATCTTTTTGGACGCTCAGGAAAGCTTGATGAGGCAAAAGAAATAGTAAACCAAATGGATGTGAAACCCGATGCAACTGTATGGAAGGCACTCCTTTCTGCATGTAGAGTGCACGGGAACTTAGAATTAGGAGAGAGGGCAGCTACAAATCTTTTTGAGTTGGAACCCATGAATGCTATGCCTTATGTTATGTTGTCTAACATGTATTCTGCAGCTCGAAAATGGGATGATGCTGCGAAAATTCGAAGGTTGATGAAATCAAAAGGAATAGTTAAGGAGCCTGGATGCAGTTGGATTGAGATAAACAGCAAAGTGCACACATTCATTTCTGAAGATAGAGGACATCCAAGGGAAGCTGAGATTTATTCCAAGATTGATGAGATTATAATAAGAATTAAAGAAGCAGGGTATGTTCCAGATATGAATTTTTCTTTACATGACATGGATAGAGAGGGAAAGGAGGTTGGCCTTGCTTATCACAGTGAGAAACTTGCTGTTGCTTTTGGTTTACTTGCTTCTCCAGCAGGTGCACCAATTCGGGTATTTAAGAATCTCCGAGTTTGTGGAGATTGTCATTCTGCTATGAAATATATATCAAGAGTTTTGACTCGTCATATCATATTGAGGGATTCAAATTGTTTTCATCATTTTAGAGATGGGGAGTGTTCATGTGGGGATTACTGGTAGGATCTCTTTTTAGTCTTAACACTAGTCCTTGATCCAGTTTGAAGGGGACTTGATACACATGACAATTTCAAGTTTACAGGGCCTTGTTTGTTGGACAAATTTTGCTTTGTTTCTGTTACTATCATCAAAGTTAAATTCATTTTTTCAATTGAAGTTTAAACATTACGTAGAGAACTAAACCTCTTGTTCAAGAATATTGAGAACTTAATGTTTCATATAGACAGGAATTTGAGATGGAGGAGGAAGCAAGACTACTCTATTTTAATTAAAATTTGAATCATGTACAAATTAAGGATGCATTATAATTTCTTGTCTTTTTAAGTACATTATATAGGCTGCAAAATGATGACATGCAATAGCTTTAGACCACAAATTGTTTGTTTCTTCAAATATTTTGCATTCGCGAGGAATTTAGCCCATCAAAATATAAGGGGCTCATTGGTACATATTCAGAAAATAATTTGCTAAAACACTTTATTTTTCTAGTTTGTAGCTGCTACCTACAACCAAAAGTGTAGAAAAGAGCCAAAACAGTTTTCTCAATTAATGGAGAGAAATTCGCAAACTACCAAAATATCTAGTCCCCAAAAATAAACATTTTCACCCACGAGAATGATTAATCTAACAGTCTAAATGGAATAAAATTGACCTTGCGGTCAGCATACTTAGTCCTTTCGTTTGACTGTGGAGTGTAGACTAGCGTTACCTTTCTGGTATAAGTGCGGTGAAGGACACGAAAATCACTAAAATTCATGGATCATTCTAATTGCCTTTATTCAAAAATTGCCAGAAATCCATTCGATAATTTGTCAGAATGAATGATGACTAGTCATAAAATTTATGCAGAGCCTAAAACTATAATTTAACAAGACTTAGCAATTAGTAGAACCAAACAACAAAAGATAGGAAGCTTTTTTGTTACAAAAAGGTAAAAACAATACAACGAAACGGGGGTTGAAAAAAAATGCCTACTCATCTGAGGATTCCACATAGCTCACTTCGAGGAACAAATCTGAACTACAGGAAAAACATGAGTAACAGATTCCAAGAACGCATCATCTTTTGAAATTGAGGCATACATCAATCATAAACTACATTATAAAAAAATGGTTGCAACCCTATCACCAGGCATTCCTACTTCATCTACGTGATTGTCACCAGCAGGTCCTTGATAAAGAGGTTGCTTGGTTTTGAGGATCATATGAGCTGTATAGTCATGATTGTCAGGCTGGACAGCAGAGACCTGAACAGTTAGGGAAGATAGCATTGCTGGTGTTGTTGTCCATTCATCCAAAAACCAATTTACAATGCCCAAGGATGAATTCAACTTGCATGCTCAGGAATGAGTCGCCGACGCAACTCCTCAGGTGCACCTGCCAGCTCTGCATTGTTTTTTATGTTAGCAATGGCAATTGGCAAACGATTTTATTTATAACTAATATTGGTAAGTTTATCACCACCTAACCTTGAGCAGTGAAATCAAACAAAGAAGGCAGTGCTCGACCATTCGGTAAGCATGCATTTGGGTCTCGCAGATCATCAAAGAAGGGGTGTGCACATGCTTCCAACTGTACACAAAATATAATCATCAGTGCAACAGGATAACTACACAACTGAATATCTTCCTAACTTCTAGAATATCAAACTGTGTACAAGTGTGACTGCATAAACAATCAAGCCACAAAAGGTAACATTTCTTAAAGCAAATTAACTTTCTTACAGCAGTGCATCGTAGATTTGGTGAATACTGAAGCATCCTTGACACAAGATCCACTGCTTCTGAAGGCATCTTTTTGTGAAAAACCTGGTTTTACAAGGTCAATCAGATCTCTGATTGGAAGCATTTATCACTACAAATTTAATACTTTAGGGGCCAGTGGAGAGTAAAGAACTGCTAACCTTGTGCCATGGGTGTGCTTTTATCTGAGGAAACTTAAATTCAGTGTAATTTGGATTCATGCACTTTATTTCTTCTCTAGTTGGCGTTCCTAAGATCTATATAGTACAAAATTACATTCAGGTTGAAGAAACAAAACCAACAGCATGTAACTTTGAAGAAGCTTACAAAGAAAACGGACAGAACACAAGAAACTATACCTTGATGATCTCTACCAACTGATCAACCCCACTCTCCCCAGGAAACATTGGCTGCAAATAACAGAAGTCGTAGATAAGCATCAATCTACAAATGCATCATTTATTCTATAAGACCTAGTTTGCGGTTGTGAGGAAAGGAATCATCTCACATGTAAAATATACAGGATACCTGACATAAGTAATTGAACTTCTACGTTAAGTTCATTGCATGTTACTTCTTACAGAACTTGATTATAAAAGAAAGGAAACCCACAGTAGAAAAATTTCAGATAAATGAGTATCCACCAAAAACTATTAAATTGCAAGTATCACTCATAGAATGCAGAACCAATTAAGAATTCTCTCACAAAATGAACTTCATGAAAATGTTCATTTTAGCAATGATATTAAAGCTCCCTCTAAATACGAGAAAGAGAGAACTAATATAAATTCTCACCTGTCCTAGAAGAAGCTCAGCCAAAACACAACCAGCAGACCAAACATCAATAGCAGTTGTGTATTCCGTTGCACCAAATATAAGTTCTGGAGCTCTATAATACCGTGAGCATATATACGATATGTTGGGTTCACCAGGCACCTGAGGACAATAATATCAAAAGCTTAGGCACATATATACCATATAACTTTCAAATTGGTAAATAAAAGCAAAGAGGAACGTACCAACATCTTTGCACTCCCAAAATCACATATCTTTAACTGATGAGTCTGGGGATTAACCTGGGATATGCAAGCACATGTCAGTAGAATACACTTTTGTTACTTAAGAAGGATTCCTAGCAATATACTGTGTCAAAATAATCACTACGAGGAAACCACAATTAAAATCTACAATGAGAAGAAAAAAATCACTCAAAGTCCATATATTAAACAGCAAGATCTACTAAGTCCTTCCACATGGTGTGAATAACAGATTAAACAGTGCAGCAGTTTACTGTTTCTTGCTGTTCCTCCAAGCAGTAACATAGTAGATCTAGAAATTTCATACGTTCACCCCAGGCAAGATTTAAATGTGGTTTAGCTTACATATTTCATATTGATCAATTGATTCAATAAATGGTATTGAGCAGAATATTCATTTCTTGTGTTTGCTTGGAAAATATAAAACTTCTGGTTCACAAACAAGGAAATTTTCAAGAAAATGAATTCTTTTTCTTACCAATAGATTCTGGGGTTTGATGTCTCGATGACAGACTCCAATCACATGATGCAAATAATTTAATCCACGACATATCTACAAGAGAGTTTTGCTGAGCAATCAATAACAGCATAATGGTAACAAGCTAAAAACAAATAATTGGAATTCTACAAGCACGATCAAGGAAACTCATAGCCAAATACTATAGTTAAAAATAAAAATAAAAAGTCAATCAATCCAATTTCCAGATTACCTGGTATGTATACAGTTGCACATAAAGGATAGGCATATGTTGGTGCATCCTGATGTAGTGCTTTGAAACTCTGTAGACAGTTTCAGGTACGTACTCCAAAACCAGGTTAAGGTACAATTCATCTTTATCAGCTGCTGAATAGAAACAGTGCTTTAGTCTGAGAACGTTAGTATGGTCAAGCAGACGCATAACCTGCAGTTCCCTATTCTTATATCTCTTGTCTTGCAACACTTTCTTTATCGCAACTGCTTCACCAGTTTCAAGGCACTTGGCCTACAGAATATTCAAGGCATTATGGATAAGCAAGAAAAAAACTAAACGAACCCATAGAACAGTGAAGAAAGGATAAAAAATCAATCCTTAAATTACATGTAAAGAAATACTACAAAACAAATATAAATACCTGATAAACAACACCAAAAGATCCAGTACCAACCACACGTTCTGCCATGTATGAGATTGTCTGAGCCAGACAAAACAAAGTTATTAAATGCAGAATATTTCATAGCAAGTAATTGATACAATTTATCATGTATTTGTGATAACAAAGAAGGGAAAAGGTTCTAACTAAACCAAATATGTCATTATTACAACATTTTGTCCAATCCTAAGCATAAAGCATAGATTAAAAATATGAAGTCAATATAGTGGTAAACATGGCCTACTCTAATTATCAATGTGTACATGTACGTTCACAGTTCCAAATAAGGAAACTTTACAATATACAACCAAAATGTTCAACATTCAAACTAATAAATACGATAAAATATATCAAAACTTATATTCCCCTCACCCGATACCCCTTATAACAAGGTACTGAAAACCAATAACAAGCAGTGCAAATTTAATAGAAGAACAATGAATTTAAGAAAAAAGATCCTCGGGATCTGATTCCTTGATATAAGATCACTTTTAAGAGTGGGTAAGTAGAACAGCAATTAAGAAACTCATGAACAATACCCTCTTTGGTTGTCCATCTCGACCACCAATAGCAGTTGTAATTATTTGACCCGTCTCTGTTCCATTACCATTCACGACAGCTGCATCCATATCCTGCACACAGCAAATCATTTACCAAACCCAATTATTGCATTTAAAAAAAAAATCAGCTTCACAATACTAATTAAAATGTATATTGTTGACATATTGGTGGAAGCAAAAAAGGTGCATGTACTATCTTTGCAGCGAATACAGAATATTCATAAATAATTTTAATTTTACATATTTAAAACAATCACAGCAATGAGTCGATGATTAACAAACATCAAAAATAGGAAAACAAGAAAAATGAACAATAAATACCTTCTCATTGTTGTTTTTCCCTTTGTCATCTACAATTTTCATTTCACGTAATTCTTTTGGAAGCTGATCATAACCCGACTTCTCAATTCTAGCCACTGTAGAAACATTGGAATTAACTGTGCCAACAGCAGTTTCTTTTGATGCATCTATATTCTGCTCCTGATCTTTTCCACCTCTCTCCATAGGATATGTTTCCTCGTTGACCTTTCCTTCAGTCTCCTGATCAACTTTGGCTCTCTTTGTGGTACAATCCCCTCCCTGCAAAGAAGCAGTTTCAATTTAAATAATATATTTGGGATGTGTTTTTGCCCAGGTATGTAAAATGGGAAAAGCAAATTAAACTCAAGGTACACAACATTTCCTAAATTTCCCACATAGTTAAGTTTATCATACTAAGCTCCTGCCGCAATTAAATTAAGAGTACACTGACAATGACAAATAAGCAAACAAGCAACTAATACATTACCCAATTCACAAGATTAACACCAGCAAGCAAATGAGCAATTCAACCTAATCTTTGGTTTTATCCGTACCATAATCCAAGCAAGCTTTTGTCACCTATTGCCTAAACAGCTACAACACATTTGCACCTAGAACCTTATCATCTTATGGTTTTGGTAATTCCACACTTCCAACCTTAACAGTCATGACAAACCCACACAAAGTTTGTGCTCTCGTTAGCTTAGAAAATCATTGGACTCCAAACCACAAATGTACAAATAAAACAAAAGAAAATGACACACTTTGAGGAGCAGAACACAAATAGTCAGATTATAAAACGTTTTACATGGAAATACAGCTATGTCTCAAAATCAAAAAACATAAACAAAAAAAAAAAGTCAAAAAATCACCCACACATAGACACACATACATACATACATACATACATACATATTCATAATCATAATATTAATAAACTTAAAGAAAAAAAAAATGTTATGCCTAACTAGTAGCAAAACTCGACATTTCCCAACAACCCAGACCAATGAAAATGTTCATTTCTTGAGCAACATTAGCTTGTATTTTTATTTTTTTTCAATTTTCCAGCGACCAAACAACAACCAAAAGAGAAAAAAAAAATGGCTCAAAAAATAAATATTTTTAGAGAGGAAAGAGAAAAAGATATTAAGCTTACAGGATCTGATGAAATCGAAGTCCTCCCAGAAGCAATGCTCTTCAACCTTCGCATCATATTCATGGTTGTGATTCCGACCCCAACAAACCAACTCAATCCACACCCTAAATACCCTCAAATCCCAAAACAAAAAACAATTTTTTTCCACAAAAACACGAAGAGAAAAACACAGAAGAGAGAGAGACTGTTTCTCTCTCTTCTCCTGCCTCTGTCCCCTGCAAATACAAAATGGCCAGAAAAAAACGAGAGAGAAAATGAAGCCAAACAACACAGATCTTATGAACCCAATTTCTCTAAATTGGGTGCCAGGTGGATTTTTATTTTTTAACTATTAATTAATTAATTTCTTAATTTTCTGTGGTCAAACTTCCATCAATTCCAATCATTCCAGCTTCAAAGTTTGTACCTCAGTCAAACGTGAGATATTGACCGCTGATCAGTCATCGATGGAAATTTGACGGTCACGATCTTCTAGTTTCGACACGAAAGCTGGTGTTCAGTTACGAAAGCACCCTTTACTTTGGGTTTACTTACGGAAAAGGGATCCTCAGACAAAGATGAGGTGTGAACGGAATATTCGGAGGAATCAGCGTGTTTTTACGGTGAACAATGGATCCGGCATTTTAGGACAACAAAGGATAATGTTTAAAGCAATGCAATTTTAGTTCAGAAATTTTTCTACGGAAAGTCTTTATAAAAAATTATAAAACACGTATAATAACATAGATAGAATTAAAATTTGATTATAATATGTTTACACTGCAAAAAAAAAATATTTTTTAATATTATTTAAAAACTATATTTATTATATATTAAAATTAATTGATAGTATAAAACAATAAACTAAAATTAAACTCTTAAATTATAGAGACTATTGGTTAATAAAATATAAAATAAACAATAAATTATCAATAGTAGTTACATAGAAATTAAAAATAATAATATTTTTTAAAGTAATTAAAAATATTGCATAAAGTATATTGTAGATTATTTGATTAGTGACTTTAATCATTCATTTGTGTAAAATTAATGATTTTTTTACACAATTGCATGCATGTTCATAATTAGTATTTTAATTTATATCACATTTATGAAATTATTTTCAGGTAAATTATATATCATTTCATTTTTAGATATAAAAAAAAAAGGATAGCGCTATATCTTTTGGTATATTCTCTTACTACTTATTTTTAAAGTAATATTTATTTTACATATTTTATATTAAAAATTTAAGAATTAAATAAATGGAATAATAAAATATCATCTCAAGACCACACCAATGTTCAAATAACATGAATTTAATTATAAGAAATATGAAAGAACGTATTATGAATATCGATTATATTTTTAAGAAATAATTATAAATTATTATATTTTTAAACAGTAAGAAAAAAGTTTGTTAATGAATATTTTACGATTTTAGTTAGTTAATAACAAATCATATTCATTTATAATTTTAGATCAATTTAATAATTATTTTTATCATTTTAGTTCATTATTTATCAGAACAATTAATGACACACTGTTGGCAAATATGAAGAGATAAAAATGATATTATTTTGGAAGCAAACAAGTAAACTTCAATGACATTCCAGTAACAATAATAATTATAATAAATATGATATGAGATTAGAAATAATAACAATATTAAAAGTGATAATCATTTCAATAGGAAGTAAAATACATGTATTAAATAAATAAATATATCTATGTGAATAATAAATTAGTATCTCATTAATATAAATTTTATGATAAATAAATATATAATAAAAATTTCATATGAGAATATAAGGGCTTGTTTGATATTTAAAAATGTTTTTTATTTTTATTTTAATTACAAAATTATCACTTTATTTTTATTATTTCATGTTTTCTAAGATATGTATGGAAAAATAATTTTTAATTTTTTCTATATAAATATTCAAAAACAGAATACAAAATAGAAAATATTTTCTAAAACCAAACATCAATTTATATATAATATAACATAAATGTCAAGTTTAATAATTCTAACACAGACATTAGTGTTAGCAACCCATTTAGTTTTAGTTCCTATCTTTAAGTAACGTAAAAATTAGAAACATAATATGATCCATATCTCCATTAACAACATTTAGTTTTCATTTTATATAGAGGTTGTCTCTGTTAATTTTTGAATTGGGCTTTATGATGGGCAGAGCCCCATCAATATTTCACACTCCCATGGTTTTAGGTCCATCGTGATTGAGTGAGTGAAGATTTGAAAAGACTAAAACTTCGATCGCGAATCAACTTGCAATGATTGGAAGTTAATATTAATCAATCTATTCTTCACTTTCGCATAGCTTTGACAGTTTTTTTTTCATTTGGTATCAAAGCTTCATATACTATTACCTTGCTTGTTTTGCATATTCGAAAAATGTTGTGTGTTTGACCCTTCTTTTTATTTATTTATCAAAATCGAATATGAAAAATCATTTTCTATGTTTTCTGCATTTAAAAACATCTTTTTTCACGTTTAATAGAGACTAAGAATGTTAAAATTTTGAAATCGGGTGCGCAGGTCGTAATTGGGTCAAGCTGACCCGGCTGGAGGTTGAAGACAAATACTATGATTTCAATCTTTTCTGAAGATAAGAAAAAATACCAAAATCCTATGATTTTTACTTATAATTAGTCAAAGTGAATAATTTTACTTAAACATGACTTTCTGGAGGTTGAAGACATTTATTGCTACTACATTGACCTTCTGAGGATTCAAACTCAGAACCTTAGGATAATAATCTAAGGTGGCAACCATTAAAGCAAATTCTTATCTTTGTTATATATGTGATTCTGAAAACTATATATATCTTTCCTTGTGACTGTTTAGCATGATATTATTAGTTTTTATACCTAATTTCTTTGATATTATTGCTAATATTTGCCTTTTGGAGAGAGAAAACTAATGTTTGGTAATGAATATAATTTTAATAAATTAGAGAATAGTCACAACACCTTTAATTGATTAAAATTATATATATATAGTTTTTTTTAAGTCACATTGAAAAAATATTGATTGTAATTAATTATATGTGATGTGATGAAATCTACCCACATAAAATTTATTGCATTTGTATAATTAATCAGAATGAAATATTGAATTATATTTCTTAATCTACGCACAAAAATTAAGAAAAGGAACATAATTTGATAGTTTTATCATAAAGATGTATAATGAGTCTAATTGAATAGGACTTTAGCCCACAGACAAGTTTTATGTCACTAGATTAATGAATTAAAGCATGTTTGCATTAGTAAAACATGATATTTATTTTATCCTCAAATTATGATAAGCATGTAGTATTTTAAACTTTGCAGTTTCTCAATCTATGAATTTTTTTGATAATAAATATGGTATTCCCGAGTTACGGGATGATAATTATAAGATCTGGAAGAAAAGAATTCTTCTCCATTTGAGCTAGATGGACATTGATTATGCTATTAGGAAGGATGAACCATCGGCAATTACTGAGACTAGCACTCCAGATGTAGTTGATCTTTATAAAAAGTGGGAGAGGTCTAATCGTCTTTTCATGACTTTCATAAAGACCAAACAAATGTAGATTTCCTGGTATCAATGCAGCCAGCAAAGTCTAAGTTAGAGTAGCCTATCACTTCCAAAGCATCAGTCCGTCTGTACATAAGCATGTAATCCTTTGTTCCTTGAAGATATCTCATTACTTTCTTTGCAGCTTTCTAATGGTCAATACCTAGATTGCTCTAATATCTTCCTAAAACTCCAACCGCAAATGCAATGTCAGGTTTCGTGCAAACCTGAGCATACATAAGACTTTCAATAGCTGAAGCATACGGAATATTTTTCATGTGTGCTCAAGAAGAGGAAAGGTTATTGATGGAAGAAGGGGAGAGGATGAACTTGACCATATATGCGAAAAGCAAAAAGAATCAAGTTAATCACAAGGAAAAGCTTTATGTTCAGTCGGACATAAAGAATGAGTCAAAGTGATTCTTTTGTAAAAAGAAAGGACACATAAAGAAAGATTGCTTAAAATTCAAGACTTGACTGGACAAGAAGGGTAATTTATTTGCTTTCGTTTGTTATGAATCTAATATGGTTGATATTAATCATGACACATGGTGGATTGATTCTGATTCTACAATCCATGTTTGTAATACCTTGCAGGTTATGCAAAACCCAAGGACGCCAGTGGAAAGAGAGTGATGCATCTACTTAGGGAGTAGGATGAGCTCACATGTGGAGGCTGTTGGGACGTGTAGTTTGACTTTAAGTAGTGGCTTTGTTTTAAATTTAGAAAAAACATTTTATGTTCCTAGTTTTTCTAAGAATTTGATTTCAATTTCAAGATTTGCACCTTTATATTTTTCCTTTAATTTTTTGGACTATGATTTTACTTTATTAAATAAATCCCAAATTGTTGGTTTTGACAAATTATGTGATGGTCTTTATTCTATTACTTTCCAAAATAATGCCGCTCATAATTCTATGCACGTTACTGCTAGGGTGAAACGATGTGTTGTGAATGAGGAATCTTTTATGTTGTGGCATCGAAGATTGGGACACATTTCCATTGAGAGAATTAAGCGATTAGTAAATGAAGGAATACTTAGTGCTTTGGACTTTACTGATTTTGAGACTTGTGTGGATTGCATTAAGGGTAAGCAAACTAACAAGTCTAAAACTGGTGTCAAGAGGAGTTCAAACTTGTTAGAAATCATTCATATAGATATTTGTTGTCCAGACATAGACGCAAGTAGTCCGAGATATTTTATCACCTTCATAGATGATTACTCACGATATATGTATCTCTATTTGCTTCATTCTAAAGAAGAAGCATTGAATGCCTTTAAAGTTTTCAAGGCTGAAGTAGAGTTACAATGTGGAAAGAAAATTAAGATTGTGAGATCAGATCGAGGTGAAGAATACTATGGTAAATATACAGAAAATGGACAAGCACTTAGTTCATTTGCAAAAAATTTTCAAGAACATAGGATTGTTGCCCAATACACTATGTCTGGTTCTCCAGATCAGAATGGTATGACAGAAAGAAGGAATCGAACTTTGATGGACATGGTGAGAAGCATGAGGAGCAATGCAAGGCTTCCTCAATTCTTGTAGATTGAAGCACTTAAGATGGCTGTGTATATATTAAACAGAGTTCCAACTAAGGTTGTCTCAAAGACACCTTTTGAACTATTCAAAGGTTGGAAACCTAGTTTGCGACATGTACGCATTTGGGGATGTCCATCTGAAGTGAGAATTTATAACTCACAAGAGAAGAAACTTGACCCTAAGACTGTTAGTG